GCATTATTAGTATGAATTTTAATGTTATTTCACTCCTTTGTGTTTTTATTATGTTGAATACAAATAAACTGGGTCATTATTCGCGACAAGCATGGTGTCGCGCTACGTGCCGAGAAGATCCATACGAGAGTGGAGAATAATACTGTTTTCAAGATTTTTTGTCCAGTTCTGATTTTGGATTTCAACAATATATATACTTGCATTATAAATACTTGCGTTTTAAGGGTTCACTCCAATATACATTTTATTTGACTCGACTGTGCAACTGTACAATATATGAACATTTGGCATTACAATCTATTACGTGCATATTTGGCCTCTGAAGGAGTTCAGTTTGGGCTCACTCTGTTGAAGTACGTTTGATAGTTCTAGAGAAAGAACACGCAGAATAGGGCCCATCTTTCCTTATACCATAATTCCCATAAACCTTCTTAAACGAGCTGTTGATGATGCGTATGTTTTGCACAAAGCTTCTTTCATCAGGTAATGAATAGTCTGCTATAAAGATAATAGGTTAGTCCGCATTCGGTTAGTACATTATCCTACATACATAGCTTCCCGAGCATCACCGCCATCCGTTTTAAACGGAAGTAATGATATTCGTATGAACATAATACTATGATAAGTGGAAGATGATAACTCCAGATAGTAAAAACGAGATGCGGGGTAAAATGTTCACTTTCAGATGGCTATAAAAACAGCCATGAACGTATACGAGACATACAATTTTTATTGGTAGTGCGAATCATATCTTTTCAATTGTAACTAAGAAGTTGCAAAGGTGGGAAACTACATGTCAAACGAGGCGTCTGTGGGGGGGTTATGGGGGCCTAGATTCTATATAAATGCTTCAAGTATTTCAGAATAAGTTTTTTCCTTCAAATTAGGTAAGTGTTTTCGATTAAACTATGTTCAGTATTCGTATTAAAGTCTTGCGCATTAGAAGAAACACCATCACGCAGGGGCAGACAGCTTCAACGACAAATCACATTACTTAGGAATGGTACTACTTAATATTCGTCTGTCGATTTAAATCAGTTTGAAATGGTATTGAACTACGTCGTAATCCATTGATTTTGTGCTTATTTTTTTTTTTATCTCATAGAAGAAGTGAAATTTATGAATACAGTTCCGGTAGTTTAGATATTTCTATCATGAAGTGATAAATTGCCTTTAGTCACTTTCTATAGTATAAGCGTCAAAAGTCAACGTGTTTCCTTGCTATTGATTATAAAATACGTGGCATCTTATTCGATATCATATATGGAATCTAACAAATAACACAGTTATACTAAGCGAATGAATCGAAGTTACCAGAAGAATAGATAGGAAATCATATTATCCATCGGATGATGGAAATAATAATCAATGTATGTGAATGTGAGGTCTAGTCAGTACCATATGAGTTCGTCCGTTTCAATTAGCGATTTTTATTTTGAAATCATCACGAAGGTATGACAGAATAGAATGTATGACATAAGAATAGAATAAAACAGACAGGATCATTTCTTCAGTTTTATATTTTATTTGAACCAGCGTCAGATGAATGATAATGCGTCGTTTAGTAAGTGGTATACATAATGTTATTTGGTACAAGTACATTAATACACCCTCACTGAGTCTGTTAACAAAGCTTACGATCATTTTTGATTGATGATTTTCAAGAAGCCCAACCGAACTTATACATAATTGTCAATCGCGAATTCGAACTGTTATGCGATGATAATGCATTTTTGATTCCATGACCAATCTTCGGATCCGTCTTTTGTGATACATCCTGTAATAAAAACACTGCCGTATAAGAGTCTAGTTGACCCGGACTTTGAGTGTGTTGGGTTCGGGCATTATGTTCGAGTCGGTCTTCGTGGGTTTTTAACTCCGGGTGTTTCTGTGCATCTCTGTGCATCAAGTTATCTTGCGGTTCAAGAACACACGGTTAGTATAGTACGTGATAATCGTGAAATGTCCAATATAGCACTGCGGCATCTTTCCGATCCACAAGAGGCTGGTGGGAGCTTGTCAGAGCAAACTTCCAATTTTTTGAGAACCACTGTGCACTCTTGGATAGTTTCAAAAACGTCATATTTTGTTCCTTCGTGTGTGCCGACTGAGTATTGAACGAATCCACGCATTTTTGTGACTCGGATTGCACATCGAATCCGTGTTATTTTTATCGAGTTCTTATTCAATTCTGTTTTTAATATTGTCGCCTCCGTTATACGCGTTCACCTTGATCAGGTCGGTACAAGCATTATGTTAACAAAAATTTGCTAAAGCGACAAAATTATTATCAAATCAAAGTTACCACTCAACTCGAAAGTAAAGAAACAACAAGTGACAATGAATAGGCGAGTGACCAACGTGTTGAAAAAATTGTACCTTTATGGCTAAAAGCACCTGCAATAATGCAGACGTATGATAATCTAAATTGAGTTTCTTTAGATTGACGCGCTAAAACGTCCATAATGAAAACTAGGTTGCTGAAGTAGTCTAACGGCTACCTACTATACAGTTTGGCAAGAAGATACGGGATACAACGTACGCAGTCGGAAAGGTGTTTTGACGTCCCCATTGTTACGTAACAACTCGGAAGATTCGAGTCGTTAACTAACCTATTACTCGGATTCGCCGAATATTGTGGTTTTTCACAAATATTCAATGCTATGAGAGATAGCCATTCATATTTTCTGTCTTCATTCCTAGTCTTTTGATTGTAGGTTTACCGACAACCTAACAAAAATTTTGGAAAGCTTTTTTTTTCTCTAAATATTTCTTTCTATTGGGACTGCTGGGATATCTGATTTTTTGGACATGCAAAACGCCTTATTAGACACGATGTTTTGTTTCGTCTTGGAACTATTTCCTAAAAATACAGCAGGAAACGTGCTCCCCGAAAGCTGACTAGTTCAGTTAAATAATAAAGTCAAAAATGTTCACTATTCACCACCGTGAAATCACAACGACAAGGAACACGCATGCTGAACCATAAAATAAAATAGAGTTTTTTATCAATTCGTGGGTAGGGAACAACTGAAAAACGACCTAATCATGTGACGAATTATTGCCTTCGTACAACTATCAGTAAATATTTTGTGAATATATTATATATATGGGTATAAGCGTTATCTGAAATCAAGTAATAATTTATTTAACAAACTTTCAAATGGCAATATTTGACTGTCTGATAAACAACGCCGTACGAACCTTGGCGTCATGAATATGTTGATTCGGTAGTACATCAATTTTTAAGTGATTTTAAAGCGTTGGAGATAACGGTGAAACATCGGGAGATCCAAAGGCGAAGGCTCCGAAGACTAATAGCCTATGTGATGCGATAAAAGTTGTGAGTACTGAGAAAGAATCTGGAAAAATGGTATCTGGTTGAGGAACAGTCGGATTTTCGGTAAAGCGTCATATTGTACTATAAGGAAGTGTAAAATACTTTTGTAAAGTATTGAAGGACAAATGGAGCCGTAAAACGCCTCGATAAAAAATTAAAAGTCAATTTGAAGCGTCGTACAGAACATTTAAAATCGATTAATTAGTTTATTGTGGTTAAAGGCGGGGACATTTGAAGTTTGGCATTTCGTATTACATAACTTATGTGGATTATCTACAACCAAATAATATAGATAAAATACATTTTTTTACCCTATTTTATAAAGCTGTACGCTGATATCATGAATCATTATATCATGTACCTGTACCTGTGTACCATATTGATACTGAGTCATTTACATAGTCGTATTCCTGTTAAATTTAGTAAATTCGTATTGTAACAAGAAATATCGATCGAAAAGATTAGTATAAAATAGTTTTTCGACAGGTGAAGTAAAAGTTAGTAAGTTGATAATAAAGTGTAATACCGCGAACTAATTCTACTTAGTCTAGACATGCGAAATAGACTAATTATCGATTAATAACATATGTACACAGAAGATAAATAAATATAATAAGTAAATAAAAAAAAAAATTTTGATTTGACATTTAACTGGATTGGATTTAATCTTTAAAATGTTTGTCAGCAACAACGCGGAGGGAATCTGCATTTGCTTTTGTGAGAATGAAACTTCGCGACAAAGAAAAGTTAGGAATTTGATAAATGAAAAGTTGGAGAAATGATTTCAGCCGCCGTTTAAATGGCATTTTGCGTAGAGAACTCAGTAGGTTTGCTTATTAGGGCAGCGTATAATGCCTATCGAGTTCAGTGTAATATTAATTGTTGTATCCATTGAACATTATAAATCTAGTTGCATTTAGCTCAGATAAGAATAGTAACTGCAATCGCTTGTCGTACCTCGCCTACCACATTCACGCAAATTTCTTACCGACCGCATGAGGCTATACTCTGCTGTTCGCATTTTTCATTTGGCGTAACCCCTTTCATATAAACACTCTAACTTGAAAAAAATTTACCGAAAACCTGGTGCAATACTAACGATTCTTTTGAAATCAAAATATTTGTGTTCTTGGTCTCTTATCTGTTGTAGAGGATCTCAATTACACGTCGTTTTCCTGATTACTTTTCAAAAAACATTCTTTTTAGATTGCCTGAAATTTTTGCATTTCTTTTTCGCGGGTCGATTCATGGCACATGCAATTATCGATAACGAAAAGTATCTGTTGCCTCCACACAACTGTAATTTTGATAATTCGTAGAACAACAAGTAGCTACAACCACAGGCCAATTTATATATACCTCATATATATATACATTATACGCCTTGGGCTATCCTTCAAGTCCGTCTAAAATATAAGATAATAATATATAAGAAGAATCTTACTAATCGGTTAGTGTAAACTAATTTTAAGACATAAGGAAGCATATTCAACAGCAGGTTGTCAAAATAGACTTTAATTTGAGAATTATTCGAAATAAACGTAGGAAATTACTACGCAGCATCATAGAATTTTTAGATAAGACCAAAACAGCTCTTTGTGATATTTAGTAAGCATGTCGAGGCCAGAATATTATCAAACGGAATATTTTGTTTTGGCAGGTTTAGGATTGCTGTATATCCAAACTGAAATATGGCAATGTTCAAAAAAACTGTTCTCGTTACTGGGGGTGCTGGATTCATGTAAGTCTGGACGTTTTTATTTGCTCAATGACTTGATTTTTAGGTTCTGAAATTTATATTTGTCAAGTTAGATCGAAACAGCTAGCGGGTCCGGCCGAACGCCGGAAAACTTGTGTTTTCATGAGTCTTGATGGTCTAAAAAGCGTTTCAAATTACGGAAAAATGCTATTTATGATACAGAAAGATGCTTTCTATTTTTTACATTTCAAAGGGACTCCTAAAACCACCCCCTAATACACTGTGACAGGGGAGAAAAAAAATTGATAATATTAAAAGAGATTTAGAGGTATTTTTAATACTATTCATCATTCTGTTGTGAATAAATTTCGATAAACCTGTATTCATTTTTACAGTGGTTCTCACCTTGTTATCGGACTTGTCAATCAGTTTCCTGATTACAGAATCATTAATTTGGACAAGGTAATTTGACATTCTTGATAATATGACAATTAATCACAATTATCACAGTCCAATATGTTGGATAGGTTACGGGGCAGATATTATAAATGTTTTGAGAGATTGACTTGCTTTTACCGGTGACACTACGCGGAAATTATCGAAATTGACACGTCGAATGGTTTCAGCGGTTTCTTACACAAATTGACTACAAATCCGAGATAAGATGAAGTTTTGACGTATTAAAATTATTGTAGATCTTTGAAAAAAAAATGATTGAAATCCAAATTTTTTTTGAAAAAGTAGTAAACGAATCGAATATAAAGTATGGCGGGGTATTTTTCATGGCATTTGTTTGTGAACATGTGAGAGTAAATGGAACGGAACTCTCAAAAGCTTTCTGTGTAGTATTGCCTCCAGCTATTATATGATGGAATGATATAGTAAAATTTTGAGAAATGTACGGCCCTTCGTACCTGGAACTCGTAGCGCCCATTGTCTTGGTTGTGCCATTGGAATAATATTTAGAATTACTATTTTTAAAAAGGGCTGATAATAAAGAGATCCTTTACGATGCGCACCAATTACACGGAGTCGGAAATTGACGAATGGTCGCGCGATATGTCCAAGGAAGTGATAAAACAATCGCATATTTTAATTATTAAAACAAACAAACTATTACTGTTACGATGAAAGCAGATTGCATTTTCCGGTGGACATATTAGATTGCCACACGAAATAAAGTATTAAACGAAATCGGTTTAAACTGATAGTATATGTGAAGATGGGCCCCATTTATGCGTGTTCTTCTCCAGTAATATTAAGAGTACTTTAGCGCTTGAAACCCCCAACTGAACTCCCTCATAAGTCAAATATGCACACAATGATGTGTTGCCAAATGCTCGTATGTTGTAAAGTTGCACAATCGAAATGTCCCAAATACAGATTTAATGAAATATACACTTGAAGCTTAATACAAGTATATAATATATACGGTTGAAAACCAAATCAGAACTGCACACAAAGAAAGCATGAAGGCCGGAAATACTTCATGTCTCGGATAAATCACCATTAAGAAACAGGCCAGAATAACCCACTTTCATTGTATTCAATGAACTATTACCACCGGGGGGTTGAAAACCATAAAATCCATATTAACCATTTCACCTTCGCTACAATATAAAATCAAAATACCGTGCAATCTGCAGGTTGATTTCAAATCAAAAACAGTTTATGAATATAAATAAAATGATATTAAAAAAAACGTAATGTAATTACCTCTTTGCAATTTTCGGGCACCAGTATAGCTAAACAGAATTACCTCCAGTAGTTACTACGACCAAAAAAACTTTTCATGCTAGAGGTTACAGTATATAATTTATAATGAAATCTTTACCTAATTCCAGCTGGATTACGTTTCAAACTCAAAAAATCTTGAGGCAATTGAAAATGCACCAAACTATTTGTTTATTCTTGTAAGTATCTTTTTATAAAGTTTAGTGTTGCTTGTAGTCAAAGCCTAACTGTATTTTTTTCGAGATTAAATTTCCTTCTTCCTTACTTGAGTGTATTAAAATAATTTGTGAGGGATCAAGAACAACATTGACCTATATCGTTTAATATAGAGTTTGCTAGAGATATAGTAAATATTATTAGATGTTTTCCTCTTCGTTTCTAATTTTATTTATAACAAAACCCTTTCTTATTTCATTTTTCTAAACTTTTGTAGGGTGATATCACAGAGCCAATAAGCATGAAGAACTTGTTTCTGTCGGAGAAAATAGACATTGTTATACACTGTGCTGCAAAATCTCACGTGGAAAACTCCTTCTTCAAGTACGTTTGGAGATTGAAAAATTAGATGACAGATATATATGTTTTCTTTCTAGTAGTTCTCTCATTTCATGTCGAATTTTGACTTTTTCAAATCAATTCACTTTTGTATAAAAACAAATGAACAAATTATTAAAAAAGGCGGTTTGTAGGAAGTGAACGTAACATGATTAGATGAAAAGCCGATATCATGATCAAACAGGTATATTCGTTGTTAAAAATGCATTTTGCCAGTGTTTCTATTTTGTATTTTTATTGTTCCAGTTTTCGTTTTGGTATTTTTGAGTTTATTTTACAGTTCTTTGGAATTCACTCGAGACAACGTTTTGGGCACACATGTACTTCTCAATGCAGCATATATGTTCAGTACTGTCGAACGTTTCATTCATGTCAGTACGGATGAAGTGTATGGGGGAAAGACAGACGACGCGGTTGGTATTCGTGATTGTTGGTCGAAGATTTTACCAATTAGAAAATTGATTCAAGTATTTACGATGGAATATCATAAGCATTGTCACTTGTTGTGCACCTTGACAATTTGTGTTCGAATTTTTTTTTGTTAGGGTAACAATTCCTAACCAATTTATATAATCATCTAATAATTCGACAAGTTATCCCATTCAATGATACGCACTAGTTTTCAAAAGATAAGTTAATTTTATCGTCCTATTCTATGGCCTGAAAGTGTAGTGAGTGCAGTTCATCGCAGTAGGTAGATCAATGTTTCACGTCGTTACAAACTAATCTACATTCAACGTTTTAATGAATTTATTTGAATTGTTCATTCCTTTCTCTTTGCAGACGATAAACTACGAGACCTCGATTCGTCAACCAACCAACCCTTATGCGGCCACAAAAGCCGCGGCAGAGTGTATAGTCCAATCGTACTTCGAATCTTTCAAGGTATTACATATCTGGGAATTCTACTTAAATGTGTTGAAACTTATGTCAGTAGAATTGATCCAATTGAAAGTTTAATATCTTACATTGCAAAACTGGTCATTTTTCTGTACGATGTATGGCTAGAATTATATGCATCTTACTTACTAATCATTATTCATACTCCGGAAAAAATAACGTTCTTCTTTTTTGTACAGTTTCCTGTCATAGTTGCCAGAATGAATAACATATACGGACCTCATCAATACCCGGAAAAGGTTTAATAAGAATTGCGATTTTGTTTATGTATATATAATTTTAATATGTATATGTAGGCATATTTGAATACGTAAATTATACATATCCGGTGAGAGTTAATGATTCTGAGTCGTTCACATACTGTTTCCATTTATGAAGTGTTGAAAAGATTATAAATTAACTATATAGCCACAATTGAGTGGTTAAAATATGCGAAAGGAGAAAGAGATTTAGAATAGCGACGTGGGGGCATTAAACAAAAAAGGAAAATTTTTGACTCCGCATTACCTCTTTAAAAATGGAAATCGGCCTAATGCCAAAATTTAACGTCACATACGACAGTAAGCTATACTGCCATTTTTTATAAAATAACACACAAATATGTATTTAGGACTAAAACAAAAAATTCGAATAAAGCGTTAAAATAGACATCGAGTCTAAAAATTATCTATATAGGTAACCATCTGGAATTGACGTCCAAACGTTCAATATTTTCCACCATATGTTTCAGGTCATTCCCAAATTCATTGAATTGCTGAAAAGGAAGCGAAAATGGTAAGATATTTATTTCTGATACTCCCCCCATGTACACAATATAAACTATCGTAGTTTCATCCTAATTGACCTAATACTTTAGCGGGAAGACACTCTTCTAAAGCTACAATAATCAAGTAAGCAAGCGTTCATTTATGCCCGTCTTCCGAGGTGCTGCCTCATTGTTTAACTAGGAAATTGTTAGTGAAGCAAGTGTGCTACATAGCCACATATATATTTATAGAAAATAGATTTATTTCAAGATAACATATATGCGATAAAACCAAATTAATTTGACTTTACAGCTATTTACATGGAAATGGTTTGCAATTGCGTAACTTTTTGTATGCGACTGATGCCACAGACGCACTGACGCTTCTAATGTGCAGAGGAAAGCCAGGAGAGGTATACAATATCGGCTCAGAATTCGAAATTACGATGAAGGATCTGGCTGTATTTTTAGTAGAAAAGGTAAGATTCGTGCCTTATATACTTTTTAGTGAAAAAAATAGTTATCAAAATAAAATTCTGTATAACAAGATAGAGTTAGTTTACAAGTTAGATTGACTCGAGGAACACAATAGAAATGAATAACCCAAGAAATATTTTTAAAACAACCAATTTTAATAGTTCACCATAAAATTTATAAACATTTAATTCTCGCTTATTGTTGCATTGGATCAAGTAAAAATTCCTTACAACTATTTGTTTTCTGATAGCAACAGTAAATTTAGGATTTTTGCTATACGAGCAGCAGTATCCAGTCGCGAGGCCCTACAATGTAGCAGATATGACGAACTATATAATTTGTACAAATTACACAAATTAGATATGGTAGGAATTATATCAACAAAGCTTGTTACGGTGATGGCAATCTAAAAACCGAATAACCACTGATTTACCAATGAATAAACTGATGGATTTTGAGAATTTTTCTCAGTTTTTCGGGTATTAGGTAAAATAACAGTAAATAATTTTGCAGTGTGACCAGCTATATTGTAATTTTTCTAGATTCTTCACTTGGATACAGAGAAAGCCGAAGAATATTTGGAGTACGTCAATGACAGGTAAGGCGTGCGATTGGTTGCCGCTTTGGTATGCGATTGAGATCATGTTGAGCAAGAGAAATCACGTACCAAGGCAGCTTTATGACGCCGAGATCGCATACTAAGTGGAACCTGCGAATGTGTGCAATATGTCACTTTTGAGACGATAATAAAGAGTCATATGTTAAAGGCGAAAATTCACGCAACTATGACTGCAGTGGCATCGATAAATGACCGTCGATACTATTGCCTATTTGTGTCATGGATTACTCGTCTAGCAAAGTGGTTCCCAGCATTACAACCTCGGCAGACCGGGAACATTAAATAAAATGATCTCGCATATTGAAATGAGCAGGAAATAAAAACCTGAATTCGAGTAATATACTTCCATGTTTTGGCGCCGAATCATGCAATTATGGTATTAGACTATTAGATTAAAGTCACTATAATGTCATCTGCGGCGTTGGAAAAAAGGGAAACCCGCGGAAGATTTCATAACATGCGGTTGCATATACAAACCACAAATATTACGAATAATAAGTGAACGTTGAGTTATTTAGTGAAAAGCAGAAAAACTTGAACATATTTCGGATCTAACTTTGTATATTTCAACATTTTTTTTAAATTTCAGTCCGATGTTGAAATATTACAGATTATCCCATTAGTAATTTCAAAGTAAAACAAAGCAAGAAAATAGGTAAAACCCGCACGGAGTCTCATGTTAAAAAATGTCGTTTGATTTTCTTGAATTTGTTGTCGTGTTGTTTTTAATTCGAATTATAAAATAGGACACTAGAATAGCAATCAATACCATACTTGTCTAATTTAACGACGGAAGAGAAATTGCGTAATAAAACAACGTTACAGTTATATTTTGGTAAGCAAGCGGTTACACTGGCAGAGAAATAGCAAAACAAATTTTCTCGCGGAACGGTATAAAAAAGCTTCACGGAATGACAATGGTCCAGGGACCAGCGATTGGGAACCACTGGTCTAGCACATATATTATGTATAAAAAGATTTCTAGCATTATTTATATATACTTTCAATTTTAGGCCTTTCAATGACCGACGCTACACAATGAACAGTAACAAGATGAAATTGCTAGGATGGGAACAGAAAGTCACGTGGGAAGAAGGAATTGAGGAAACAAGTAATTTTACATATCATTTATTTATTAAAAAAATATTACACCCAGTTCGTATAAGATTATATGTTTGACGAGTGTTCATGCGCGATGCCGAACTACGAAACCAAATATTCTGTTGGTGATCAAGTTCAACTGTTCAATTTTTTCCGTACGATAACTTCGTGCTTCGAAAACACGATGGAGATTTGGATGACATTTACACTTCATATATATATATATATCTAAGTTGTCACAACAGGAACTGGAATAGTCAACACCAAAATATTTTAGATTGTTATAGTTAGATTTGAACGGAATCAAAACTTCACATCATAAAGTAAGACCTGTTCCATTTTTTCAGTGAAGAAGAACTTAATCTTCTTTCTATTGATACACCACATTTGTTTCTTCCCCGAATGTGTATCGGATTGCCTCGTTGGCTATATAGTGGACAATTTTTAGTGGTTTATAATTATAATAAATTTTCACACCACAAAATTGTCATGTTAATTACTATATTTAATTATTTCTACCCAATCTAAAATTCAATTATTTATTACATATTCCAGTTCGTTGGCACGAAGAACATCCCGACAGATGGCCTTGCATGGAGGACATACTGAAACCATTCTCAATAGCTCCAGGATATGTCGACAGACACCCAAAATTTCATGACAGAGGACAGTACCGCGATATTAACTAAAATTACAATTAATCGATTAGTTTTTGTTGCTATTATAATTTTGTAAACCAATAACAGGATTGGTCAACAATTATGCAGAGTTTTGCTTATTTATTACAAAAATAAGGGCAGTAGAGTACCACAGTAATAAATCATTGCCTGTTACAATTTGTGCAGCGTGTTTCAGCATCTAAAAACATTCAAAGATTATAACGACTCATTTCTTTCCAGTTGTTTAGGTTGAAGATAATGTATTTGCAATATATAAATATATATATATGTAAATACATGCAAGTATTTTTGATTTTAAAATGTATATTTAAATATTGTTCTGTAGCCAGATCTTTTTCTTATGTTCACAATTCAGCGTTATATTCGTTATGCATTCAGCCTTGATTAAAAGAAGCCTTTTTTTTATAAAGGAAAATAAAATATTACGTGGTCCACAATTGTGTATTGACTTATGCTAAGATAATTTGCTTTTAAATATTTGTGATGGACCTCATACAGTAAGAAACAAACTTGCATACTAGGATTTTATTAGCTCAACTAACTAGCTCAACTAAGAGTCTTAAGCAGCACAAACCAAAGAATGACTTTCAAATAAAAATACCATGCTATTGAAGGACGAACAGTATACGTCAGCAGGGTCAAATGTCGTGGCTGTTTTATTCGTTGCTAGATTATTAAGACATTAATCACCACAATATTAATTTCGGGAGAAGGAATAGATAAGATCACTCAACTAGGTAGCAAACGACGAACTCTCGATTGAATCCGAAAAATAGTGAAGCACACACCAAGGCAAGTTTGCCTTGTCAAAGTACGGTGAGCCTAGCCGAGTCATGGGATTCAGGCGATTTTAACGCAAAATAACATCCACCGTTTACGATAGTTGGAATAATAATTCCAATATTTGTGCATAATTTTCTATTTCACTGTTTGCAACAATGGGATTATTTTCTGGCAATAACCAACACTTATTTCAAAATAATGATATACAGATGCCGTAGTTAGGCAAGCAGATATGGAGATATAAATTCTGGCGAATGTCGACGGCCGGTTTATTCGTGGTTATGGCTGTCGGGCGGAAACGGGACTTACAGGGTGGCAGTAACATTGGTGAATAGGTGAGCATTTAAGCCAAATGTGAATCATATATTAATACTTCTCGTTTCCGTGCGTCGTTTCACGTCGGGATTCTATCTGCGAAAAAAACACGACTACAGCTTGGGGCTTACGTCTCTTTACTCGTCATCAAATCTTGCGCTTATGGTTGATCAGAACTTTCATTATAGACTTTTAACTGAGTTAGATTCGTGTGCAGCCAGACAGCTGTCAAGTATATCGAGAATAAAAAATATTACTAGAAATAAACGGTTTCTTGTACCCAGGATATATTGCTCCACTTGAATCACGTCCTTTCCAGAATGCCTACGTAGCTATTCTAATTCATCTGACACGGGGAATCTGGATTCAACCAATATTAAATTTGTATCGCGCGCAATGTTATTTCATTCAGATTCGATGATGAAATATAGATTGATGTGCATGATTGTTTATGCTACGAACTGATTTGACTGTTTCTGTTTCAATTATTTCACGTTTTCCAATTTTGCCATCGAGCTGTTTGCAAATCCACAATGAATACATGGAAAGTGCGTTCTTGATGCATCGATACAATTCTCCGTTCTCTTCGTTTTTTCATGATTTCGAGCGGCCGACGATTTCCTGCACTCGTGTTTTGAACCTTTAATTTCCCTCCAGTGTTGCCGGTCTATTGGTCTAACTCTAGGGTTTTAATGGCTTTTTAATTCCCTCCTCCATTCAGGGCGGAATTCAACAATCAGTCAGTATAATAGATTACACTATGAACTTGATCTTGTCAGAATCAATTATGTTGCAAAGATATCTGACACATCGCTAAAAGTTGTCTGTAAACTGAGTAAAATGAAAAGTTCTGTATCACCTGAATGAACTCTATATTATCTATGAAAGCATCAAACAAAAAATCATTATCACTAAACTAATATATTTCTATCCAAAATATAGAAATTAGACAAATAAATACGGAAGACAATAAACAAAAGATTTCTGATTTATCCGAGTATAAGATGCAATATATAATGACTACTTTATGAAACTAAAGTCATTCCTGTATACCCAGTTACAATAAAGATTCAATGCTCGAATTATAAACTCAATAAAAAAACGATAAGCACTGGCGATATCAAAAAAAATTTATTAAAATTTTAATAATCGAGGTGAATTTTTACTTTAATATACCGTTAGCTTTAGAAAGTCTTCACCGAAATACTTCGGTATTTTAAAACAAAATTTAGATGAGCACATAAATAAATATGTTCTTTTAAAACTAATGAATTACATTATATATTTGCACCTTTGAATGTAATAAGATATATACATTCTTGACATGGCCTAATTCAAAATATATTGGATACTACAGAGTCACTGGTAATTTTCATGTGCTTAGAATAAAAATCATGTGGTAATCAGATGTTTTGACAATCAAGTCAGCACTGCCAAATTAATCACGAGTTGATGTATCCAAGTTATCATTTAGCCATAGAATGAAAAAATATGATAAGACAACTCAATTTTGTCACACATCACACCCCTGATGTTCTGGTTACTAATACAAATCAGATATTGAAATACAGGGTGCCCCAAAATCAATAAAACCCGTTAATACAATTACCAATTTTGTGGGATTCCTAGAGTAGTGCTCTTCAACTGGCTATACGGTATACCGGACCATAGGTTGGGTATACAACTGATGAAGGGTATACAAAGGGTGTACACTGTACAGCCTAAGTCAAGGATTCTAAACTCTAATATAATAAATTATCGAATATTCAAGTGGAGACAACAATGCAAACGCGGCGCACATGAAATATAAAATGTCATTAACGCTAAGAATCAACGTGAGCACATTGTTACATTACAAATTATATAGATAATGTGTTCACGTGTCTGAGTTGATGATTTCGGCTGCCATGCACTTCGTTTAATTTACGTTGAACATTATTCCCATTGACGCTAAGGCGTCAGTCGAATTTATAACTTGCAGACACTAGCCTATTAGATTGCATGATGATTTTGCAGTACAGTATGCGCTTAAAATTTATTGTTTATCTAAGCCTTAAATAAACATTGGTATTTGTAAGGTATACAAAGTTCTTGAAAAAAAGGTAAACCACGATAAAAAAGGTTGAAGAAAACTGGGCCTAGCTAGAGTGACCTGCTTGTGGACTTAGTAACGAGCACAAAAATCGCACATGACCATCAATTATAGAATTAGAATCATTTTCTGTTATCAGTATGACAATCAATATTGCGAACATAACGGACAGCATTGAAAACTGAACACATCAATTTTTAGGTCATTGGCCGCTGGACATCCGTTTACAAATATTCCCTCATATACTCAAAAAAGGTACATAACATGTGTACAAAAAAAAAAAATCACATTTAAGTGCGCAGGTATTCCTACAGATAAGGAGTGAAAAATTATCATGAGGCATAATCTATATCATGTCGTTTTCCCCCTTCAACGTGATTTAAACTACCTTTAACAGAGTTCAAAAGAGTTTGAGATGTTTCCAGGATTTTCATATAAGCTGCTTCAGTTTCAGCAATCGTTTTGTCAAATTCATTTCGAGAAGACATTTTCTTAGCAAGGCTTTCATTAATTTTTGCCAAACGTTCAGTTAAGATTCTAATATCACTCTGTAATTTTTGTTTTTCTTCTTCTTCCTGAGATATTTGACGGTGAAGTTCATCTCGTTTCGAGCACAAATCTTCAATACACTTCACCAATTCATTGTTATAACTTTGCAATGCTGCACCTTGGTGTGACATTTTATTATAAAAAGTATTACAGGTTTGACTCTATTTCTGGAAATTATAAAAACATTAGCTCAGTGCTCGATGGCAAGCATATACATTTTTCAACTAAAAGTTGATTGCTTTCATTGCACTATTGGGCTAATAAAATTTAAGGACATGATATCATATTGCACAAAGTACAAATCCATTGTCAAAATCGGATGAAGAACATCATTCCAGCAAAACGAGAAGTATAAATAATTAAAGCCATCGTATTTAACAGAAAAATCCATTTTTATCTCGCACCTACTGTGTACTGAACTTTGAAATTCCAAAAATCATAAATAAATGTATATGTGAATAATTCTTAGTTTTTGAGTATGATACATAATGACTTAAAAGGGTTGTTGTGAATATGAAGAGCCAGCGTTCTGGGGTTTGATGTCATACCCCAGTCATACCCCATACGTATACTCCACCAATTAGTTTGCAATAGGATATTGAATAATTAACATGGGCTATTATTCTTATAAGCAGCAAAGAAAAAGTGGACTAGTCACAACCCCAAAACAGAATAATATGAAAAAACTAAGGATGCGATGCTGCTGTAGTAGTAAGATTAAAACCATTTCAAAATTTTAATGCTCCAAACCAAAGAACTAGGAATTTGCTAGACTGATTTAATATAATTTGACCTTGATTTACATGACAGGAATCAAAATTTGGAAAAATTCATCATGGCGCAATCGCCACTAGTCCCATACGATGCCTGGATAGGATTTACACATTTAACTCGGAGGAAAGCCGATAAGACGGATTAACCATATCGCGAACCACGGCCTCTCGTCGGGTACCGGTACCGTACCGTACCATTCCATGCCTGTTACAGTGTTATGCTTGTTGCAATGTTTAAAGATAGAGACGGGATTCCGTTTGCACCAACCATATATTATGACAAAATAGCTGCCATTTGTCACTACACCAGCACGGTACCGGTAACAACCACATAGTAATAAACAACAATGCCCCAAACTAGGCTCGAAGACAATCCGAATTTCTGAATGAAGGAAACTGTACTCCGATTTTCGTATCCAGCGGTTACAAAAAACTCCTTGGTCACGCAACGACAGTTTTGTGTTATTTATTCGAGATCGACTTTGCTCTTGGATGACATATGATAGGATAGGATTTACATATTTTATCCCGGGGGAGAGGAAAGCCGATAAGACGGCTTATTCGCTTATCCATATGGCGAACCACGGCCTCTCGTCCGGTTACCATTCCAAGTCGGGTATGGGATTAGTTTTACTGTATTGTTTGTTTTCGGAAGCATGGACTTGGTGGTAGAGGAAGCCGTAACCGACCAGCGGTTACGTGAACCACCCAACGACGGCGAGGAGTCCAGCAATCCTCTCGCAGATAATCATCCCTGCATGGGATTCGAACCTGCGAACCCACGCAGAGTAATTAGAGGTGCGGTGGCGAGCGTATTCCTAACGCTTAGCCCGTTGAGCCACACCGCCGCGCCACATCTTACGAAAAGTCAGAGATAATAAGTATACCGTAAGGATAGGATAGGATTTACATATTTATCCCGGGGGAGAGGAAAGCCGATAAGACGGCTTATCCATATGGCGAACCACGGCCTCTCGTCCGGTTACCATTCCAAGTCGGGTATGGGATTAGTTTTTACTGTTTTGTTTGTTTTTCGGAAGCATGGACTTGGTGGTGGAGGAAGCCGTAACCGACCAGCGGTTACGTGAACCACCCAACGACGGCGAGGAGTCCAGCAATCCTCTCGCACATAACCATCCCTGCATGGGATTCGAACCTGCGAACCCACGCAGAGTAATTAATCGAAACCGTAAGTATATTTTGATTTTCCCACAAAAAAACATACACGGGTATCGTTCGGGCGTCAAACTTGTGTAACATAAACACTCGGTGGGTCCCAATTACACTTTGACAGGACGGAATGCATGGCTATGATATGTGTATCACAACAGTGATTTTCCTAAAAAAATAAGGAATAAAAAACACTCATTGACATAAAATGGTTATGCCACAGTTCAATTTCATTGCAAAAATATCACAGTGAAAAAAAAAATTGTTATTTAAAAGAAATCCTGTAAATAGATTGAATGTTTCATAAGTGTATGCACAAACATGGATTGGGATACCGGGTTCTTTTGTCGTTTTCGATTAGTTCAATTTGAAATCATTGTATCCGTTCCAATGCTCCCAACATCAATATCGATATAGATAGATATTTTCTTGAGAGAGAGAGAGAGAGAGAGAGAGAGAGAGAAAGAGGTTATTTTATTTGTCAAACCTATATATTTACGGTCAAACCATGAAACACACAATACATGCATAAATATATAAATAAACAGCTGCTTTGGTATATGACTGGGAGACAACGATGCGACCTTTTGGAGTCATCAGTGTCTGTTGCCACCCATACAATTATATTATTAGTAATAAAATAATTCAACGGGTATGGTGTAAGCCGGGGGTCTCAAACTCAATTTACTTGAGGGCCGCCGAGACGGAGCCTTAGTGAGTCCGGACCGCATCATTTTTTTCACAATGAAAGCCTTAAACTTAAAAAGTTAAATCTTTTCCTCTGTTTTTCTATACGCAAAACATGTCAAAAACATAAATGTAAGTAATTCCGCGATGGACCTTTACCCGAGCATCTACTTCCTTGTTTATTCCGTAACATTGGCTAATCAGCAAGACACAAAAGTGACGTAACAATATACTTTTTCGCAAACGCTCAGACACTTGTCAACCAGGAAGATTTTCAGGCATGTTTGTAAACATTACCTCGTTTTTGCATGCTATTTGTTAGTTTTGGGTTGTGTTTCAGAAATTCAAGTATGGATCAAAGAACTCAATGATCATTCTGATTGCTTGGGCGTCGTAGCTTAATTGCCGTAATCAAAAATAAGTCTAGAAATAGCTGTGATAGACTAGGCTAAACTTCTCTACCGGTACTGTTGAAAAACAGGTTGTTGAATGTTTTGAATCAAAATGATGACGTGAAACATATACCCCAGTTTATAGGCTTCAACTCGCGAAACCACCTCTAAAATAAGCACCAAGAAGTAACAATGGTAAAGTATAAGAAATTTTTTTTTTGGGGTCAAAGGTCCATCTTATACCCTGCCCAAAGTGACTATAACCCTGGGACTGGGTTATAGTCACTTTGACCCTGCCTACAGGTACGGTACTAGTAGGTTACCGTGTCGCATATTCCTTTCGGGGGATAGATTATAAAATATTTTGTTTTGCTCTACTTGTCCTGATCATATATTAAATGCATCAATCATTCTAACTGAGCTGAGTGACTTACGGGCCGCACTAACATCAAACTTTCATACCAAGGCGGGGGCCGCAAATTATCGTCCTGCGGGCCGCAATTGGCCCGCGGGCCGCGAGTTTGAGACCCCTGGTGTAAGCGTAAGGTAAATCAATACCTCCTGTTTATTCACTATATACACTATTTACAAAACTCGTTTGTGAAAAATAAGAAATTTTGTGTTGAAAAATAACCTTTTGTAACAAGATATGCTATTCATCATATATTTAGTATAAAGATTGTTATATATTGCATAGTATCTAACTGCATAAAATTATGCAGAATATAAAAATGCTTGAGGTGAAATTGTTTCGCAAGGATGCCAAATACTTTGACAATATGTCATACTAGTACTGAATGAAATTGGGCATGGATTTTCAATGTGCATACATGGGGTAAATTTTATTACAATATACACAAAATGAATAGAAAAAAAAAATTTTCGTATTTCCGTAACAATTACAAATCAGCAATAAGCTGACAATGACGTAACAATTGAAATTTATGCCGTCGCTCAGACACTTCTTTTGCTCAGACAGATATTCGAGCGTGGTTGTAAACATTGTCTTTTGGTAGTTTGGCGTGTTATTCGTCGTTAAATAGGTTTCCAAAAAACAGTTGTAAATCAAATACCTCAATTGTCATTATGTCTCCCGGGGATCTTCAGTTTAGTTACAATAATCAAAAATTGATACCGTAAACTCTGCGATAAACTAGCTTAAAATTGGCTTGGCTTTTAAGCGTTGCGCGTTTTAGTTTTTTTGAATGAAAATGATATTTTTGAACAAGTGAGCCAGTTTGTAAGCGCCAACTCCCCAAAACACTCTGAAAATCAGCGTTGAAAATGTTGCAATAATAAAGCGTCCATATTCCAGCTCTCCTTTTTAAATATTATCTCGCAAGGACCGTGTTTTGCCGAAGATAAGACAGTCACTTATTTCAATTTTCTTCCGCAAAATAACACTAAGAATTTATTGAGGGAATGTCTTTTATTTTCATTTATAAAAAACAAAATTGCAAAGTAGAGAATAACGAGTTTCTTGGTATCGACTAAATCAAAACTATAATTCTTCAATAATGGAATTTCTTTTCAAACTCTCCAAAAAATGTGTGGGTTCAACTCCGACGAATGAGGTCCCACTCGACGTCACCGCTGATCATGTAGTTCCCTGAAATCGCTCTCCAGCCATTCAAGGGTGTGATTTGATGTGTGGGGAGACGCCTGATCACGCTGGAACCACTGGCCACCTCTAGATCTCGGCACCATCACGTGGCCTTACGCATTGACCGGTTGAGCTCTTTTATTTTCGCCTTTAAACCAATACGGACCGATTATGGTATGTTTGGAAATGATTACCCAAGCCGCGCACCTAAACCGAGTGCAACCGTCTCAGCGAGACTTCCCTCAGAGGTGCTGTGCCGAAGTAAACATTATTGTTATTGACATGTACTGACAGCAGATAGCGCGCTTCAGCCTAAAACCAATGGAGTTATTGACAATTTTGCGTAACCGATGCAACTTGAAACATATTCTAAATCTAGAAAGAACATAACTTTTGTACCAAGCGTCCTAGATTTCTGAAACTTTTCTGTATAATCATACACAAACAGAAGTTATAGCGCGAACGAAACTAAATGATTTTTTTCATTTTCGTAAGAGCGATTACGAAATTGATGGGTTTCGTTTTTTTGGGGCCACCCTGTGATTCTATCACAACAGCGGCAACCTGCTTCTTCCCCATTAGCAATGATTCTACCCGGAGAAAGAATACAAGCTGCCGAGCCCCTTCAGAGTTGTTCATCGACACCTTTTTAAAAGTGGAGATGTACATGACCAATACGAACAATCTTCAAAACTTATTGAAAGCAGGAAATATTTTTAAATCTCAGAATCCACATCCAAATTTCTTCAGCCTCGCCCCTTCCCTGACCATAATAGGTTAGGTAAAGATCTACAAAAAAAAGAAGAACAAAGATCTCAGCAACCGTTCCCAATTTCCTAATTCATCAGACTTCGGTAAATTTTCCAAGATGACATTGTTAAATCTAGGATGCATTTGCTGTAGTATTAGTTTACCCAAACAATATATTAAGTAGTCATTGAGAAAGTACAACTACCCGAAAAAATATTTTCAATCAACTACAAAAAAGTAAAGAACTCAAATTTTATCATGCAAGTACAAATAAAAACTGATCATCTGTAAAGATAATCAGCTTCAATATTCGCTGCTATCTCCGCTTCCCATTTGTCACCATTATTAAGTAATTTTTCTTTGTTATACAAAAGTTCTTCATGTGTTTCTGTAGCGTACTCAAAATTGGGACCTTCGACTATGGCATCAACAGGACAAGCTTCTTGGCAAAAACCACAATAGATACATTTTGTCATGTCAATATCATATCGTGTTGTTCTACGACTCCCATCACTTCTTTCCTCGGCTTCAATCGTGATTGCTTGAGCTGGACATATTGCTTCGCACAACTTGCAAGCAATGCATCGCTCTTCACCAGTTGGATATCTTCTTAATGCATGTTCGCCTGAAAAAAAATTAATGATTCATGATATCATTATTTCCATCTGAAGTAATCAGATTACTTCAAAGATATGTATTTCATTGTATTCTGCCTTTATAGATGGAAGTCTTGTATATTAACTGGAAAGTTCGCCAAGAGGAAACTTACATGCATTACATATTTATCAGTGGAGGTTACGCGAGACTAACCATCCTTCCTCAATGCCTTTGCGCTAGTGGATCCGTATGCGTATAATGCAAGGATGCTGTAGCAGGAATATCGAGGGTCCTGCTGCACACTAACACAAATGTATTTCTGTAAAGTTCTTTCCTGTTATTGTTGCAAACTGCTTGTCTGAGGAAGTCTGATTTTTGTCAGACGAAACAATACAGAAATACATTAGTGTTAGTGTGCAGCAGGACTCATGAATTGCATAGTATGTATTATATAGTTAGTATATTAATCAAAATTATCATTTCGTCATTATCATTTGATATTCGTAGTTGGATTCAAAGGCCCCTAAGTCTATTCATAACCGAATGGAGTCAAATTATGCAAAGCTTTCACTGAAAGCACCTAAAGTTAAACTCAATCCACTGTTCAAGTTATTAGTTGAGTATCATTTTTCTCGTAAGTTGAGTCATTCCAGCGATTTTAATTTTCATAGGTTATCACAGTTGGGTCTTAATATAAATTGGACTGAATTTTGGTTGTTGTCATGTAGTCTACTGTTCTAGCCCAAGTTCTATACCTATAATGTAACACACTACACTTCAATAGTGTGTGAAAATGAGGTATGAGCATTGTCTATGTGGTCTGATAAATGAAACAATATGCCGGCCTTTGGCATATGTTGGAATGATAATGAAAACTTCGTTCAAGTATATAAATTACAGAATTACTATTTTCTAATTTTTAATTGGATCAAACTGCTTTAAACACAGTATTCAAAATTTGATTTTCAGCATTGTCTCAATGAAAATAAATGTGCTTGATATTTAAAGGACATATTTTTTACTCACAAGGGCACACATGAAACAACTAAAACTTCAGGTTGCATGAATAAATAAACATAAAAAAATTATCACGTAATAAATACATAGTAAAATCAAATGTTGGTGCTACATTTGATTTCTTCTTCAACCGAGAAGTCCATCAATCCCTCTATATTCCCAAGGGATTCACACATTCAAAAACACTAAACATATGCAGCATGCATAATGATGACTAGCTCTACAGTACATGTTTTAAAAAAATTTGGACCACCCATGACAAAGATTGCTAAAATGTTTATTTCTTACTAAACACAGATGAATAGGATACATGGATAGGAATCAGTTCAGCAGTTATTCATTTCCGATACCTGGACTTGAATTTAATCAATAACATTGATCTTTCCACTATTGTATTTTTGTATAAATTTACATATTTATAACAGGGTAGCAAAAAGTGTAAGTTAATATTGACTTCATAATCAGCAATAGACGATAAAATAATAGATAAAAACGAAAAATAAAAGTAACTGATTATAGAATCGGGCAAAGCAAACAAATCCTCAAGTAAGGTTTGAAGCGTACAGATTTCAGATTGAAAGGTATTGATAAAAAAAGTAGTACGTGTTTGCTCACCCAAGCCGATAAGACAGATTAATCATACAATTCTTAATATCATACGGCCGGGTATGGGATTAGTTAGTCAGTTATTCTGTTTTCAGATTCGTGGTCTTGATATAGTGATTCACCTATTACTGGTATGTATTACTGTATTAACCATTTTCTGTTGATAAAGTACCGGAAAATATCAAATCAGCATATCGAATGAATATTGAGATGCTCACCTCGAAACCTTGGGCTGAGGGGTCCTTTTTCGAAAGGATAATTGATGGTCGCTGGCTCAGAAAAAGTCTTCGCGAGAGCCATTCCCAGTCCACGTAACATTTCTGTGGCAAACAATGAAGTAGCATTAGCGTCTGCAACATTTTTCCATGTAGGGTCGACTTTGCTTGCATTCACATACTTATACGATGAGACCGTCGGTGATACAGAAAACTCCCTAGTGCCTAGTTGGCAAATCAGGCGATTTCTCAATACGCTCACCCCGCGAGCCGCCATTCTTGGACAAGTTGTACCGGGAATGAAAAAATATCCAGATGCAACATTAGCGGTAGTGGTTGGAGGCTGTAAACAATATCTGGTCTGAGACGAAATGCGCTACTGAAACGAATTTAATACACTCACCGCCCCACAAAGTTCATATTTATTAATTAATAGTGAGTTTTTTTTTATTGTTCTGTACCTATATTCACATTTAACATATTCAGTATTCACATTTAACATATACCTGTCAATTGCGTTAAAATTACGATAACCTCAACTTCAAAAGAATATCCCATATGCAATACATGCAATACCAAATATACAGCTTAGAATTGCAAACATGATTATATACCGTGTTTCCCCAAAATTAAGACTTAGCCTAAATTTTAAAAATGATTTTAATATAAGCCCTTCCCTTAAAATATGACCAAGTCCAGGGTGGTCCAAACCCAGGCCCGCAGGTCACATGTGGCCCGCGGCCTCATTATCTGTGGCCCGCGTCGCATTTGCGGGAGGGTAAACAAAAAATCGCATTTGGTGTTGTTTTGTCATAAAAATAACCAGAAAAATCTTTTGACATATTGTTACATCACTGATCTCACTGAACTGATTAGTGTTATGGCTAAGTTGAATAATGTGCTTGACTAGTCTAAATTGTTACTGGCTTTCCATCTTTTTGGTCGAGAATATATGCTAACAAAATAGGCTTCGTGGAACACTAAATAACGAATGAGGAATCTATTAGTCTATGTTGGCTATGCCTGATAACTAAATATTGATGTTATATTAGGGTTACCATATTTGAAAAAGCAAAATTCCGGACAATGCATGACTATTTTCATGAGATCATGCATATGCGCTACCGAAATGTTAAGGCTGCAAACGTTGTACGATACTCACGCTAAAGCGCCAGCTACCGAAACAAAAAGTATTGTCTTCAGTCACAAGCAGAATCTCACACCAGGCGGGTAAGCACTCTCTAAATATAGCTACGGACCGTCACTGAAAAAAATCTCAACCTCAGAGTGAAAAATAATGATGAGAATTAGGTTGTGCCGAAAAGGAAGAACAGCAATTACATGCTTAAAACAAATTAAAGACACGCTCGTAAGTCACGTCTACTACAAATTTTTCTCTTCTGACCTTGCATAGTTTTCTGAAGATCTAATTCTCTTCAATACGGCCTCGTCTGATTTCGAAAATGAAAAAAATTCACTACAGCGCATATCTTTGAAATTATATTGAAGAGTCAATTTCATAGTCGCAACGCTCAACTTGTTGGACACGTAGTGGACATAACGATCGTTTCAAAATTTTGTTGTTATTGTTATTATTTGTCTCCGTCAACACGTTTTGAAGAAATCGCTTTTCTCTTCGAATACTGGACCAATTGCTTGTTTGTAAAATTCAGTTATCATCAACCCGCAGTTATAAGTTATTTTGGAAACACATGTTTGAAAATAAAGCTGACCTATTCAAACAGATTTTTGACTGGATATGAAAAGGTAAATACCACAATGCTTGCTTGATATGTCTGCAAGTTGGGTCGGTGACAATCTAAAACGGCATTTTCTCTGTTATGAAGAGTTTAAAATCTTACACTAAATGTAGATTTAGTAAGAATTTTGCAAGTTTTAGTGAGTTTTTGCGTTTTTTAGCTTGCTAAATGACGAATAATGATCAATGTGTTTGGACAATAAAAGTGTTTGTGTTGTATTGCACTGTTTACCTAGTCTTGGCACTATTGTGGCCCGCGAACAATAAAAAAATAATAGTGTGGCCCGCGAGACCAACAATCTTGGACCACTCTGACCTAGTCAATGAAACGGATTCTTTTTTACTCACCGTGTTTCCCCGAAAATAAGACCTACCCTGAAAATAAGACCTAGCCTGAATTTTAAGAATGATTTTAATATAAGCCCTCCTTTTAAAATAAAGACCTAGTCAATAGCACGGATTTTTTTTTTGACCCAGTCGATAGCAAGAAATCCCTCCAACACGTTTTAAATGATTCATCTAAAACGTGTGAGAGAGGAAAACGTGTTATTTAAGTAAATGGATATCGGTTTTCATATTTAAATCTCGTAATTCTCTACTTTGTAATTTAGTTTTAGATAAATGAAAATAAAAGACATTCCCCGAAAATAAGTCCTAGTGTTATTTTTCGAAAGAAAATTGAAAGAGGACACTGTCTTATTTTAGGGAAAACACGGTAGTCGATAGTATGAAATCTCCTCTGCACGTTTTACAATTGATAACCTATGTTTTGCAGTTATTTGAGATAAAAACGTGTTATTTATAAGTAAATAGATATCGGTATCATATTTTGTATATTTAAAAATCTCGTATTTTTCTACTTTGTAATTTTGTTTTTGATAAATGAATATATAAGACATCCCCCTAAAATAACTGGCGCACTGGTTGTGTACTTTCTGTTACGTAGTGTCTGTCTCTATTGTAAAATAACTGTTACTGGTAGATACCACTCGCTGCAATTTTGGGAGCTGCAGTTCGCTGAAGCGAGTTTAGCAAACATTATTTTTTTTTTGTTTCAGTATTTCAAAAACAATCAAGCAGAGATGGAAAAGAAGAGTTGGCCTTTTGCCTTCATTCCTCAGGTCCACATGTTCTGAAAAGCATAAAGTACACATTACCCATCACAAAATTGTTTCATAGTGACAAAAACACGACTTTATAAATTATTTTCCATCCACCTCCAGTAATAGTGTGTCTTCACAGAAGAGTGGTCCAATATGATATGATATCATGTATATTTCAGATCTAACCGAATGTAGCAAGTCTAGACTTTGGGCTATATGATTAATATTGCTCAATAGATAAATACAGATGGCAGAGATTATACGTTCTTTTTAAATTTTTTGTTTTTTACAGATTATATATATATATATAAATACGACTGTTACATCCGAATACCTCATTCATCTTCAATATTAAACTAAGTTTCATAATAGTTAAAAATTGAATTTTATATTTCCATACATTCGAGACATTAAAATTAAGACGTATATTGAATTGATCATTATTAGCTCAAGTATTTTAAAAGTATAACAGCCCGAAAGTTCCATACATTCGCGTATTTTTGTTTGTTTATTACTGGCCCGAGCCTCATTTAACTGGGTTTGTGATCTTTGTATTTTGTGTTTGTGTGTGCTAATGAGCGGGCGCATGATATTTTTCATGTTTTAAACTTTTTAAAAGGATTTGTTCGCTATCCAAAATCTCCATATTTAATTTGCGTGTATTATAAAGTTTGCAAAATAGCCTATCTATCTATTCGCAGCTACAAGTATGCCTACAATATAGTGTAATCTGTGTAAGACTTGTTTCTTTGTTAGTTATTTATTTAGATACTTCGGACATGAAATAATTTCAAGCCCGTATTCGAACACTATCATAAATTTAAATAATTCGAGTAATTATTTTAGAGATGACGATTAAATTACTTCGAATGTCATCACAGAAAACCATTACATTGATTTCATTTAAAACAAATATTTTTTAATTTTCCGTAAGAAAGAAAATGCTTTCCTCACAATAGGTCACAGGGATGGCGATCCTTTTTCAATGAGTGGGTCAAAAATTATATTTCTATCGCGGAACAGAAGAAAGTGGGTCACATATTTAATCAATGTTTGTATCTATAAGAAACTTCTGAAACAAATCTTATTAGCTTCAGTTGGTGTTGGTGTTGGTGTGGTTTTGGGCTTTACTTCTATCAGGGACTCACGCATATGAATCACCAAAAACGTTTAGGATAATACGGAAAATTATTTTTCGGTTACAAGGAGTTTGGGGGGGGGGGAATTCCACACTCTGATAGTGTTATATTTTTTGCTCAGCTTTCAACTACAATAAGGCACTTTTACACTACCCCGTTGTTATTTCAGATTTCTAGGTTTTTATTTCAAGACTGAAAGATTTTGTTTTCTCAACGGCATTGTAGGCGGGTCACGAATAAAACGCGGTGGTTCACTTTGTGACCCGCGGGTCAGTGGTTCGCCATCCCTGCAATAGGAGGTTATATATATTACACCAAAATATAGTCACTGCTCCCCCAAATGAGGTTAGTATGGTAAACTAAATCTACGCTTTCAGAAAAACACAAGTTTGTGATTAAACAATGGTCGAAAGTGAAAATTTCCATCGCCACGTTTTGGAACTACATTATCGAAAAATTACGTAGTGCTTTATTATTCTCTATATATAAGCAATATATGGAAATTAATATCTTATATTTTTATCGAAACGTTCCTCTTATAGCAATGAGAAATATTTAATTAATCATATAAACAATAATATACAATATCGATTTCAAATGATTCCAGTTCGAAAGCCTCAACATATTATTATTAGTAAACGTAATACAATTTTATTTATACAAATTTATTCCGGCGATTATTTTGCGATTAGTCGTATTTCAACGATTTGTTCAACACTGTTAGCACAACGTGAGGTTTTTTCATATTCTCCAAAATGTTCTTATTTGTCAGGGGATCAACGTAATCGGCGTAGTTGACCTGCTTCTGGGCTTTCCAACCAAGCTTAGTTGTAGTTTTCAAGGTGTAGGCACTTGTGCAGGCAACAGGCAAGATGTCTATACCCCGACTTCTGGCAATTTTTTCCGACCTGCGAATACAAGACATCAGAGCTTTGCTACAAGAGAGTAATTTATTAGAATAATTAGGACACTTTATCAAAGACATATCTTTCATTATGATGAAAATGGTAAATTTTAGTTTAACCATTTTGCAGTGAACGTGATGTATCAATGGAAAAGTTATGGAATTCTGATTGGTATAAAAAAATTATTTTAGCAGAAAGTATGGATTCCTACTTATTTATATTCGCTTCAAATTGAATTCCAAAATTTAAATTTATTCTCTTGAAATAAAACGTAGAAAAAATCATTTATTATTATTTGATACCTTGTTTCGACAAACAACTTCATTTCTTTCATTCATATTTTATTTTTATTGACATGAAAAAGTAATAAAAACGAATTCCTTCAGAGTTTATCAATATGATTTCGAAAAACGCTGAAGTCGAACATTATACAAGTTTTAAAACTTCCTGCCAGTTCACAATTATTGATCTATAGTATTTGTTTATAAATATAATTAAAAATACATTGCGCAAAGGTACTTTTTCAAAATAAATTTAGTTTAATCTAGTTTACAAATTTGGTGATTTTTATTAACGGGGTGACTTAGTGTTTGTGATACTTGTATCAAGTAGAAATGTCAGGACTTTTTTCCGACAAATTTCAAGATGACTTCTCGTGTGATTAACTTTTTCTCACCTTTTATAAAGTTCAGTGGTAATTCCCTTTTTTCCGTAATCCTGTCTCACAGCTACCAAGAATAATTCCATATAGTTGGAAGTTCCCAACGACTTTGCCATGTCAGTTCCGAATAAATAAATCAGAATCTAAACATTTTTTTCTGAGGGTCAATTGTTTTGAAAAAGAAAATGGCTTTGTATGGAGTAAAATAATCCTCCACGCTATGTGTACTGAAAGAGTCAGTGCTATTCATTCAAACATTAGCTATAATAAGTCTCAAATACATATAAAATATTTTACCTGGTCAAACTGTTGAACATTGAGGGGCGCTTCCTTCATGTTATAAGGCAGTGGTTGTAGTTTATCTTGGTTTTCTCCAAGAAAGTTGATTCTGATTCCGACAAGTTCACCAGTCGCCTTGTCATATACTCCGATGCTTACTTTTTGCCACAGAGCATTCTGGTAAACGAGAATTAGAATTGATCAAAATTAATTAATACAGTGATTGTATTGGGAATGTAGTCATAGTTCATTTCAGATAACCATAATTTATGCTATATTATTTACGAACGTAAACTGTAATTTTAAACACACTTATATGGGCAAAAACAGGTTAATTTTATTCTTCTATCATCAGACTACACTCCTGTAAACGAGTTCAAATATATATATCGTATGGTAACAGCATTGAAAAACAAGCCTTGCTTATAACTTTGCTTGCTTATAACTTCCCAAACATGATTGAATTCAATGTCATTGACATTGTGCTAAAGGGCATTTTATATATGAGAATATTCTATTTTTAGTATATGCAAAATATGGTAATAAAGTTCGTCACACTCTAATGCAAATTTCCAGATGTTCTATTCCATCAAATGCCGCCCATATATATAATTTCTATAAAACAACGAAATTGTATGGTTGAACGAATTTTTTTCTTTAATCACGAAGTATGTGAACCAAGATGGCGGACACAGGAACGTAAAATGTGTACCAGGTTAGGCGATAATTTTATTTCAATTTTCCTTATTTTAGTTCTCTTACGAGTCCAAGTGACTCCCATAGTATTTGTACCTACAATTATGGTCTCACCCTAACCTGGTACACATACTACGTTCCGGTGTCCGCCATTTTTGTTCACATACTTCGGTTGTTTCTACGGCAAAAATAGTCATATTACCTTTACATATGGACCAAATAGCATTTCTCCCTCCTCGGGCGACAACTGTAGATGTGTAGATATAGGTTCTTCGCCAACAAAATGCTTAACCATAAAAGCAGTGATGACTTCACAATCACATTCTTCTAGTATACGATAATCGTACTCTTCCTCAGACATTTTATTGCTTGATAATTATTTTATTCAAACCTGAATACATTATAACAGTTATATATTTTAACACAAATTGGAATCTGATATTCTGATGTATTCTTTTATATAAGATATTCTGAGTATTCATCTCATGTAATCATAATCGCAAAACTAAGTGATCATGTATGCTTTCCTTGACATCTGAGTACTGTTAGTTAATATTGCATTGTTAGCACAGTGAAAGTTGAGTAAATAAAAAATTCGTTATACGCTGTTATATGTGTAATGAGTAGTTTTATACCCAGTACATATATTTATCATTTGTATCGTGTTACTAGTTGTATATAAGACGGGTCAAAACGACACTGATCCGGACGATGCTCTCCCTTAACAACGCTTATATACGTTTGTGCTACCACAAATATGTCCTCAGAGACTATTCTTATATAATGTGAGTTATAATAAATTATATAAGTATTTAGCGATCGATACTCATTTGATGAGTTAGACCTAAATTCCAATTTGGAGAACTTTGTAATTAGTTATTTTTAGTCCTTTTCTGAATTTTTATAAACATTAGGTAAAATTACCAATTTATCCCTAAACTTTCACCAGCAAATAAACGTTAACAAGGATTTCTCAGCAGAAAATCCGATATCTCTCATGTTTGCTGGGTAAGTATGCTGTGGAACTATGCAAATATTTCTCACAAAAATAGATAAAGACAGTTGTATCATACGTCCAGTCTGACTCTTTACAAACTCTTCCTCATTGCGCCTTTGTGGGCAATTGTTCAGACGTTACACATGCTCGCACAACCGAAAACAAACGAAGTGTATAAAGACATAGAAAGAGAAGAGAGCGTTAACCCATCCGTGCAGTAATTTTATGCAATTCCATCGCAAATCATATTCTTCTACGTAAATCAATTTGTGAAGTATACCTGCCCATTAGCATACTGAGGGGAGTGCATTGGGACACGTCCTCTCGTGATTGGAATGGGCATTATGGCGTGACATCTCGTAGAACTAATGCATCGTAGTTAAGTATTTTCTTAACACTTTCATCCAACATTTTTTAGTATTATTTAACTCATTAATTAACTCATCTTCATGCTAATACCAATTAGTAAAAGTTTGAACTGGCTCTATAACTATAGAAGTATTTTTGATAGCAACTATGGTAAATATTTTATGACCAAATTTCTCAATAAAACAAAACATAGAATTTTGGACACCGGATCTTATCGACCAAAACACATAAGTTCAGTTCTAGATAATGCACATGTGAGGTTCGAATGATTGGCATTTAACATCACAGTTTATTTGAGGGCATGCGTGTATTAACCTTAGGCAATATTTTGGGACATAATATTTTTCGGTTACCACAAGCACTTTTTGGTTTGTTTCCCTTTACTACACATATTTATCAGAAGGCATATTTATTAAAATTGCGACTCATTAATTATTTGAACCGATATCAAGATCTAAACCAATCAATGGGGCTTTTGTGTACATGCGAGACAAATCTAAATTTTAAACGATTCACACAACTCATGCTGAATAATTCTATATTTTAGTTTACTAATGTAGACTTTCAGTTTTTTGCCAATAGAAAACGATTTGATATAATTAACTATATTACCGATGCTCAAGTCACATATCTCTCTCATCTGTTCTTACTCAACGAATACAGTATCACTACCCTCGGTGTTTCGTTCAGGCAAGATTTATAGCATATTTACCGGTAGTTTTTTTAAATTTCAAAAGCTTCAAAGAGACTTGTAAAAGTAATGGCTGCACGATGCCTGGACTCTGTCTGGCATTTACGAGCACGTAAAATATATTTTCCAAACACTAACCGCTGTGTGAGGGGCAAATAAAACTTTGCCGCGGGGGTTTCGACTTCCCGCTACAATAAACTATACTTAGGTGAAATAAAGGGCGAGTCATGTTAAACGAGACGGAACGAGTAGACAATGCGTTTTAGTTGTGTGACGAAGCCGATTTGATAATGCGCCCAGCAAGGACAATTGGGCAGTCAAAAATCCTTCGTTGGATATGATATAGATCAGGGATCACCAACCCGTTGCCCGCGGGCACCAAGTCGTCCGCAAGGACGGCATGAGTCGCCCGCAGGTCTGCTTTCAAATAACGACGATTATCAGTAAGCTACATCTATTGATTTTATTCTTGCTATTTTTGTTTAAACCTTATATGAGAAATGAAAATATATTAATTTTTGTTACGGTCAACCTTTTCTATTTATGACATCGGTAATATTACGGGTCATTCCAATTGTGACATCACACACACTGGGTCAGCTGGAGCCATGCGTGTCGTACATTTCTAACCTTTTTAATGGAACTTGGATATGTCAAGCATTATTGAGCAGCGTACAGCCTTGATGCGACAGATGGAGCTTAAAATTGTAATTGTAACACTGCTAAATCATCTCCACCTCAAAGCCATTTAGTGCATGTCACATTTTAGGGTTCGAGTTGACATAGAAAATGCCGTGGTGTATGAACAGCAGCTTCGATGGTCGCAAGCTTGTTTTGTTCAACTTACCTTTGTGAATCAGCCTTTTATTATATGAACTTCATCAAGAACAAACACTGAATAAACATCTGCAAGACTCACTAAGAGTTTCGGTGTCGTCAAGTTGCAAACCAGAGTACAACACAAGGGTGGAGAACATGCAATACCAGGTTTCCCACGTACCGAGGAGGAATACACCAGATTTGGTCTTCGTTAAAAATATGATATTCATGATTTGTTAAATGTTTTGTGAAATATAACATTTGTTAGCACAACTGCTGTTGATAATTTATTGAATAATTAACATGATCAATGTCTTCATGGCTAAATACCATTATTTAATATTAAATTGGCTTTTCAGAAGAGTGCTCTTGGCTTAATCGGTACTCAGAAAGTAGCCCGCTGCTTCATAAAGGTTGGTGACCCCTGATATAGATAGATGGTTCCTTTACATTTGAACCCACGACAATTGCACAATAGATTGAACCCGCGGATATATGGGTGCAAATGTATGGGTTTAAATGTACGTGGGTTCAAATGTACGGTCACCGATATCTTGGTAGAGCAAACTGAGTATTAATCTTTATTGATAATAAATTATGTAAGGAACTTGTTGTTAGATACACAAGGAAACCCGTTCCTAAAATTTTAAATCCCACCACAGCATGTAGAACTGTCTAAAGTGATATTAACTTTCTCAGCAACACAGGGTATATATATTAACGGCGATTTGAGTACGTCGTCGTGAAATTAAGACTTTTCTCTTTCGCTGTTTTTTGTAATGATTTATTTCAAATTATTTTCAGAATAGTACGCATTGGTAAAGTAGATTGATGTTTTCACGTTCACTGCACTACAATGCGCTGGCGTACATTTGATATTTCTTCTATATCTTATTCGGAGATATGAGGTAAATGTTTCATTTTGATCGAAAATAATCGACTAAATCTTATTTTTTGGAAGTTTCATTCCCATTGTTCATCTCAAAAAATCAATTTCTACGAAAACACCAGAACTGATACTAAATTGCGGCCAAAACGTAAGTGTCTTCGTGATGTAATAATTGTGTCTATTCGAAAATAATTTTTAAGTGTTTTTTTTCTGTTTCAAATTGACCCTCTTCAGCAAAAAGCTTCTACACTTGAATGGTAGATGGTGTAACCAGATGGTAACCGTCAAGTCCAGAACAAGTCGATTGATTTTATCTGGAGTTCTTGGGTTTTTTTAGTAATAGGTTTTTTTTTGTGTAGTGCGATTTTGAATTGGATACGCCGTCGTCGTCTGATACGATGCAGCTATATAATATAATGGCAATGATATAGAAACACATCCATTTTACATCAAATTCCTTCTTGTATCAGTTCATTCAGACCTTGTTTGTTGTAATTTCAAGCCTATGGCTATATGACCAATGTATTAAATGCAGCGTACAACTGACTCAGGTCCACATTAGATGAGAGATGACAGCCATGCCTTCCAGAGGCCCTAAGGACTTCAGATTTTGGTGTCCCATATATAAAAAAAATAGTATTAATGAAACTGGTGTTTTCTATGTTAACTGAATTTAAAATAGGAAATTTTCAGTATTTATAACTGATGTTGTTCACTGATTTGTATTTATTCTCTCCATGTTAATTTTTCTTGTGCCGCTGCTGGTTTCACTTCACAACTTGCTTGCTCGAATGTATTTTGTTTTTTCTATTTTTATCTATCTAGCTTTAGCTATTTTCTGTTCGAAGCATCAATAGTCACGGTGACAAAGTTGGTTTTGCCCAATACTTGTCGTAGATCAGCAGCTACCATCGGATCAATGCAAATCACAGTTACTGCTTCGCATTTCGTCTGCAACGGTACGACTTAACCGGAATACCGGTAGTCGCCACTGATACAGTCTAGTAATACTGTAATAATTAGTTCAGAAGATCCAATGTGCTGCAAAGACACACAAATAGGTTCGAAGTTCACGATGCAAACGAAGAGACTTTATTAAAATAGGGTAAAATCCACGCTTAAAGCAGATAAAACAAGAGCGACAAAATACGGTCCTTACTCGGCGACAGCAAAAGCAAAGAAGACAGACACTGCGAATCCGAAGCGGTTCACATATGTAGTGGTGGTTGGAGTCGAGTAACTGAATACAACCATTGGGCGAATTAGGGCTCCACACACCAATGCATATGCAATAACCAGACAAGAAATATAAATAAAATAATAAACAATAAAAAATAGTACAACTCCAGTCCCGCCGCACGTCCTTGCAAATTTAGATTCAACAAATTTTGAAGCTAGATTTAGTTTGAGGTACAATCGGAGCTCTTGAATCTCTCTTCGTGAATAGCAATTGTGTGCAAACGCTTTCTTTGCAGCTAACTTCAAAGATGGATCAGAATTAACTGGTTTGTAGTAATTTGTTACGCGCGACGACGACGCGGCAAATAATTAGGAAATACAGTGAGACAATTCAATAAACCAGCCTACAGCACCGCAAGCATAATCTGATAAAAGATTACCTTGACCATTACGACTA